CAGCTATCCTTTTATGTAGGAGTCCAGAAATGCCACAGGATTTTAGTTTTAGAAGTAATTTGTCATGTACCAGTGAATCAAAAGCTCTACAGAAGTCTATGTAAACTGTGTCTATTGCTTTACCCTGATCGAGATGTGCAGTCCATATGTTTTTGCAATGTAGTAGTTGTAGATTACAGGATAATTTTTTTCTGAAACCAAATTGTTTGTTAGAAAGTAGGTTGTTTGTCTCTAGGTGTTGTGTAATAGATTGGTTAATGATTGATTCCATGACTTTGCAGGTGACTCAACATAAAGAGATTGGTCTGTAATTTTCAACTAGGCTAGGGTTTCCCTTTTTGAAGATAGGGATGACCCTGGCTTGTGACCATTGGTAGGGCAAGGTGCTGGTACTGAAATTATTTTTCAAAAGGTATGCTTAGAGGTTCTGCAATTGCAGTGGAAAGCTTTTTTAAGAAGTATGCACGTAGTCCATCAGGTCCAATAGATAGAGATGGTTTTAGATTGTGTAGTGCCTTTTCAACATTATCTTCTGTAAAATCAGTATGTATAAGATCACCGTAATCGTTGTAATTGTCTGTAGTATGACTGGAAAATATCGGGTATGTGTTGTTGCTGTTTACAAAGACTGAACCAAAAAACATGTTAAAGAGATTGGCTTTAATGGTTTCATCAATACAATCTTCATTGTTTGGTCCTTTTAGGGGTGGGATGGATCTCGAGTCTTTAAGTTTGTTGTTTACAAAATTATAGAAGGCATGGGTGGATTTTGTGCATAGAAGGTTTTCTTCTTGCTTGATGTGATAATTCAATCTTTATTTGTTGGCATAAATTTTTATAGCGGTTTTTGAAGTTAGCTACATAGTTTGTTTTGTTTTTTCACCAAAGAGATTTTTTTCTGGATTGTATTTTCCTTATTGTTATTGGTAGTTTATTTCTTCTGGTTTTGTGGGGTATTAGTGGTACGTAAAGTTTAATGATTCTTTTGAGTTCACGCAAGAAAATGTTGTAATGGTCGTCAGCAGTATTACAGCCAGAGAATAGATTTTGCCAATCAAGATATGAGAGTTCATTGTCTATGAGATCATAACTGCCTTTTTTAAAGTTATAACTGGGAATCCCATCATTATGATTTTTGAGAGGGTATAAATTGAGACAAAAGTCAATCATGCTGTGGTCGCTGTTGGAGAATGGTTCTTTTATTTGTAATCCACAAATAGAATTTAAACTGTTGCAGAAGATGAGATTAAGGCAGTTGTTGAGTCTAGTGTTGTTAGTTACTAGTTGATCAAGTCCCAGATTAGTTACAGTATTGTTCAGGGTTGCATGCAAAGGTTCAGTTGTACATTCATTTAGGATCCAATTAATAAATGGTAAATTAAGGTCACCAAGAAAGATTATTGGGTGTGGGCAGGAGGCTGCCCAGGTTAGTAGTGAAGTTAACTTGTTTGCATGTTCGATGTCGTAATCTGGGGCTCTGTAATAAAGTAAGAATCGAAGTGTGGTATTGAAGGACAGGTTGCAGACGATGGTCTCAGGAAGAGCAAATTTGCATGTAACTTGAATATTTTTTAGATGTAGGGACTTTTTGTAGAAGATAGCAACACCACCTCCTCTACGGATTTCATGATCTGACCAGTAAATATAATAGTCTCTTACTCTAGTAATGGAGTCAGGGAGGGATATATTTAGCCAAGTTTCACAGACAAATATAATGTCGAATATAGCCGTATTTAGTAAGAGGAGGAATTCAGGTATTTTATTTACAAGGCTTCTTGCATTAAGTAACTTGCATTTAAGGTCGGTAGTAGTTGTTATAGAGGAAGTTTGGGGCATGCATGCCTAGTTTTGGATGATGGGGAGTTGGATGGAGGAGGATTGGGTGTTAGGATGTGGGTTGTGGGATTTTCTTTTGATACAGTCGGCACGGTATTCGATGTATAAGTCAGTATGTCCTTGTTCTTGACGTCCTTTAAGTTCTGATTGGAGTTCACGGGAGCGGATTCTTTGCAATATGGATAAGTCTGGACATGAGCGAAGTTTGTTATGGCTGATGTTGGTTTTGGCGATTGAATTTATTGTATGTATGAATATGCGTTTGATGGACTCATTTTTGCAAATAACTGCAAAATCGTGGAGCTACCGAGCCATCGTTGTATTTGAACTCAGGGCCATCTCTTGAAATTTTGATGATGTCATCAGGGGAGATTTATTTATTTATTTATTAGTTCAATTTATATGCCACCCTTCTCCGGAGACTCAGGGTGGTTTACAATGCACTTATAGCAATAGCCTTCATTCTTTTTGTAGATACCTGCTTATTAAGGTTTTTGGCCCCCCATAAGCGGTGTTCTATTTTATACAAAGTCAGCTTATTGCCCCCACAATCCGGGTCCTCAATTTACCTACCTCGGAAGGATGGCAGGCTGAGTCAACCTTGAGCCTGGTGAGATTTGAACTCACACTAATTGCAGGTAGCTGGCAGCTAAGTGCTATATAACAGCACTTAGTCCGCTGCACTACCAAGGCTCTAATGAGATGTTTGGTTTATTGGAGTTTCTTATAATGTTGCGAACCTTTGTGATATCATCAGATTCGTCGTTGTCAATCCAGGCCAAATAAAATAGCATTTTGACATTTTTGTTCATGTTCAACGGCGTCTTTGATAAATAAGGATATATTATTTGGTGGGTTGGAATTATTTGCTGGGTTGATGGTTACTTGTGGTTATTCTCTCCAACTGCCACAGTTGTATTCTCACTTATATGAATGGAAGTAGATTTGCCTATGTGATTTGAAACCCTAATCAAGCAGGTTTAGCCGGACTTTTTTGATTGGCAAGATCTGAAAATGATTGAAGGAAAGAGAGGTGGCATTCCCTCAATGGAATGTACAATTATGTGAGAACAGAATTCTAAATCATGCAGAGAGCTTCTATGCATAAAGCAATTTCCCTCTTTCGTAATTCCACCTTTGAATGAATGAAAACGAGCAGCTTTTGATGATGATGAGTACATGACAGAGGAAATGAGGAGATGCTGTACATATCTCCTTCAGTGAAGTATCATCTCACATTCTTCTTCACTCAGACTCTTAGTTGTTCTTTTTCTTTTAGAAGATCTTTGTACAGTTTTACCATCTTCAGTAATGAAGCTTAACTGGCCTCCAGCTGCATTTACTGTAACATCCATTTTTTTTTCTTGATGTCTACCTAAAAGTTATCGGCTGAATATTGGGAAACTGTTGGCTTCTTGTTTCAGCAAGATTGCTGGAATAATGTTTCCCTCCCTCCCAAAGACCTTGCTCAGGAGAGTTGTTTCTTATCGTCATTCGTTATTTTATACTGGGAGTATTGCTTTTGCTTCTTTCCAAAAGTTCTTGCTTGGAGTCATTTGTTTCCCATTGCTAATGGCACTTAAACACCAGCAATCTGGAGCTGTGTTTATTATAAGGAGAAAATATTGCTTAGAATGAAGGAGATGAAGGCATGTATATATGTCTTCATATATGTGCACAGTTGTTTGCGTTGTGCCTGATCTGGATGGGGAGAAACAGGCTCAGACTCAACCCTTCCAAGACCGAGTGGCTGTGGCTTCCACGGTATAGTCAGCTGGTGCCATCATTGACTATTGGGGGTGAATCTTTGCCCCCCACAGAGAGGGCTCGCAATCTGGGCATCCTCCTGGATGCACAGCTGTCTTTAGAAGAGCACATGACGGCCGTGGCCAGGGGGGCTTTTTATCAGGTTCGCCTGATCCGCCAATTGCGTCCCTTTCTAAACCAGGATGCCCTACGCACGGTCACTGACACCCTTTTCACCTCCTGGCTGGACTACTGTAATGCTCTCTACATGGGTCTCCCCCTGAAGAGCACTTGGAGGCTCCAACTGGTCCAGAATGCGGCTGCGTGGATGGTTATGGGCGCAACTCATTGCGCCCATGTAACACCCCTCCTGCGCGAGCTGCACTGGCTCCCATTGGTCTTCCGGGTGCAATTCAAGGTGTTGGTTACCACCTTTAAAGCGCTCCATGGCATAGGACCAGGGTATTTATGGGACCGCCTTCTGCCACCAACAGCCTCCCACCGACCAGTTCGCTCCCACAGAGAGGGACTCCTCAGGGTGCCATCGGCCAAATTATGCCAGCTGGCGACACCCAGGAGGAGAGCCTTCTCAGTGGGAGCTCCTGCCCTTTGGAACAAACTACCCCCGGAAATACGTACAATCTCTGACCTCCGGGTTTTTCGCTGTGCCCTCAAGACCCTACTGTTCCGACAGGCAGGGCTGTCTATTTAAGTGGTTTTTAAATTGGAGTTTTAACTTGGGGGTTTTAAATTTTGGCTGAAACTGTTTAATTGATTTTAATTACTTTTAATGATGATGTCTGTATATTTATGTTTTTAAATTGGCTGTACACCGCCCCGAGTCCTTCGGGAGAAGGGCGGTATATAAATAAAATTAGCATAACATAACATAACATAACAAGAACTGGCACCAGATGTGGCCTTGGGAATGAAAAGATTGGTCATCCATGCTTTATTGGTATAGTTTTTCAGCAATTTTGGAACTTCTCCAAATATGGCCAATGTCCATCCACTTGCTTTTGCCTCATTTGCTATTTAGGTTCCTCTGTCCTTTACCAGTTTCTGAATAAGTGGTTGAATACGGTGGAATTCCTGTTTGCCTTGCATGAAAACCTACCTTTTTGTGACTATTTCTTCTTCAGTAGAATATATGGTTTATTTCATCCGAAGAACAAATTTTGAATAATTTAAAATCATGCTGCACTAAATCAAATATAATTAATAAGATATAACTTTTTGGTTTTCACCTGGACATGTAATTAATGTGGGAGAAATTCAAGGTAACAATTCTGCTTGATAGAATCTTGCATAGTCATTTGGATTAGGTAATAATCATGTAATTTATATGCTAAACAATTTAAAGTTCTGAATCTGATATGTCACAATTCAACTTTCCACCATCTTTGAGAAGTCAGTAAGGAGTCTGAGGTTTTCAGGCCAGAGTGAATAGTTTGGCAGTCATTCAAGTCATCTTCAAGATCACCAAAGATCTCATTAACTCATGAAAGGGCAGGAAAAAAACAGTGAGTTTGAAGAACCACACTTATAAAAAGACACTTAGAACTTTACACTGGAAGTGAATAATCAACTATCTTGTTTGACTATATTCTTATTTACGATAAAGATGTTTTCTCAAACTTAAATAGCTACAAAGCCTTTGTAAGTCCTAGACTAGAAAATGAGTTTAGCAATTTTTGGAATTTATTTTTAAGACTTGGCCAGGAAATCTGGAACTTTTTAAAAACACAGTGCTTAGATTAGTAGGTCAAAGGAAAGCTGTGGATGTGTGTATTGATACTTCAGTAAGGGATTTGATAACATTGACTGCAACCTCTTCCATGATGAAATGGATCAGTGTGGGATGGATGGTCCCATTATCAAATGGATTCAAAATTGGTTGAGCAACCATATCCATTATGTGAAATTCGTTCACATAATGGGTTTATGTTTACATGAAGGGTGGCATGCAGTGGTTCTGCCCTGGACTCAGTGCCCTTCAACATGTTCATAAATGATTAGGAAAGGTTGGTCAATTGAATGACTCCATTTTGTACATGAAGGGCATTGAGTTGTTCATACCTAGAGCAAGAGGCATCAGCGGATAGAAAATGCGATCAAGCAATAATGGGAGGACACGATTCTGGAACACAACACCAATTTACAGGATTTAAGAAATACTTCAATAGCTACACAATAATAGGCAGAAGAAATTATGCGATCCTTATATATGGAAGCCTTCTAGTGTTCTACCTTGGATATAAAATGAGGAAACCTAAGGAAATTTCACACAAATAAGTTCTTATTGTTGGACCTCCCTTGTTGTATTGCTGTCTGTGAGTTGCAGAAGCAGATGCAGTTCAGTAAATCATGAAAAATGACTATATTTGCCTTTAGTATAAATCCATGAATGAAAACTGTCCAAATTTCTGATGTGTATTATTAAAGAGACCCTCTCTATCTATATTGCCCAAAATTAGAGTAATTTTAAGCATTGCAGTAAACCATCTGGTCCAGAATAAAAATAAAAGAAAAAAAAAAAGAAAAAGAAAAGAAAAAGAAAAAAACCATGTTCATAAATGAGGTAGATGACAAGACATAAGGGCTCCTCGTCAAATTTGCTGGGTAGAGAAATTGCAGGTTCAAGGTTCAAAAGGCTCTTGAGATTGGATCATATCCAACAAGTAGTTCAGTGGTGAGATATATAAGATACTACACTTAGAAAAAAACAACTGATTCTCAAGTACAAAATAGGTGGTAACTGGCTTGACAATAATACTTCTGAGGAAGATTTGAGTGTTCTGGTAAACCACAAATTGAACTTGAGCCAGCAGTGTGCTGCAACTGCCAAAAGTGTGAATGCAACCTTGGGCAGCATCAACAAAGGTACAGTATCAACAGCATGGGAAGTGATAGTTTTGCTCTATGTTTTTACTGGTCAGATGGCATTTAATTCTGTACACAAGAAGGAGGCTGAGAAGAGTGATAAAGAGGGTAAGGGATTTGGATGCTAAATTAAATGCTGAATGATTGAAGGAACATGGCATACTCACCCTAAGGAAGAGAAGCATAAGGGAGGAAGAGATAGCAGTCTTGCAATTTTTGAAAGGTATCACAGGGAAGAAGGTATGGATGTATTCTTCTCCCAAGAGTAGGATTAGCACCAATGGCTGGACAATTTACAGAAGGAGTGTGGCTTTCTTCCCTGGCTTGCTTCCCTGGCTTGACACTTCTTGCTTTTCAGGTTCACTGGATACATAATAGTGATCCCACAATTAAGGAGGAGATCCCAACTCAAAATAATGAAGAATTTCTTGACCAAGAGGTACTACTGTAGAATTTCTTGGAGTTATGGGTGTTCTATCCGTAGAGGTTTTTGAGCAAAGATTAGAAAGCTGTTTGTCTGAGATGGTATAAAGAGTTTTACCCTAGGCAGTGGATGGATTACAAAATTCTTCCAATGCCACAATTTCAGAAACAAACAACTAGGACAACAACAAAAAGGAAGCTTCACTACTATCAGCATGTTATGGTATCAGGAGCTCATAATAAATTCTTCAAGATGTGAATACAGTTCTCTAATCATCTGTTTAAATTCATACTTCATCTGGTGGTTTTTGTTTTTGTTTTGTATTATCTTAACCATGAGATAAGAATTTGGGTTACATTATATCTATATAAATTAGGGACACGATGGCTCAGTGGCTAAGACGCTGAGCTTGTCAATCGAAAGGTCGGCAGTTCAGCGGTTTGAATCCCTAGTGCCATGTTAATGGGGTGAGCTCCCGTTACTTGTCCCAGCTTCTGCCAACCTAGCAGTCTGAAAGGACATAAAAAATGCAAGTAGAAAAATAGGGACCACCTTTGGTGAGAAAGCAACAGCATTCCGTGTACCTTTGGCATTTAGTCATACTGGCCACATGACCGCAAAGACGTCTTCGGACAGTGCTGGCTCTTCGGCCTTGAAACGGAGATGAGCACTGCCCCCTAGAGTTGGGAACGATTAGCACATATGTGTGAGGGGAACCTTTACCTTTACTTTATATCTATATGAAGTTCATTGCAATTAATGCCTGGGATTTTCTCTCTCCTTTCAGCGTTCCCCTCAGCCAAAGATTGAGATTAAATCTTTTGTCATAATATAATATTCTTTTCTTTCTGTAATCAGTTGTTTGGTTTGCTTTCAAAGCTACTTTTCGGTTCTTTTTCTTCTGGAAATAGAACCGAACAGAAGCAGCCAGTATTTCATAACATATTTAGGAAACGTTCCTGCTGCAATTTATATGAAGATATATTTACAAATAAGTGCTCTTCTTTGATTTTGCATTAGTCAAGATCTGTGCTATAAATAGAGGGGGGGGGGGTGTCTGGTTTGGGCCCTTTCCTTTCCCAGCCATACTTTTCATGATGGCAACTTCATTTGACTGCGTCCCTCCCTCTGTTTTTAATGTTGGGTTGCGCAGCAACCTCAAACCACTTCAGTGAGACTACTTCAAGTTAAGCAGCTTGAAAAGTGTGGCTTTCTTCCCTGGCTTGACACTTCTTGCTTTTCAGGTTCACTGGGTACGTAATAATGATCCCACAATTAAGGAGGAAACCATTTCCAACAAACAAGTTGGCTGGACAACAAGAATGATCTCTAAGCAATGATAGAACATTAGTTCAAAGAAATCCCAAGCCAGGCCCCTTATCTCTTGCCACAGGGATGATAGTTAGCATTCCCACCCTTGCTAATCAGCCTGTTTATCTGTGAGGCATTATGAAGTAAATATTATCACAATCTCTTTGAAGTCGAGACAGATGGGTGCCTTGAGCCAAGCTACTGAGGTAATGATCTTTCACGCTTACAGGAAGCTGCTTGCCTGCTTTCAATGATCTGGGAGCAAAGGAGGGGTGGGGGGGGGGTTAAGGGTGGAATGGAGAGACCAGCCTCATAATCACCTTCAGACAAGCCTGGAAGCCCATGGGGAGTTGAGTCAAACCTCCACCTCTGGTAAAGAAGGGAGCCAGAGTTCAGATCCAGGAATGCAGACTGCTCCCTCTATATCTTCTCCACTTTCAACAAACTTCACAAACAAGCCAAACTCTAGCTCAGCCAAACAGTATAAAGCAGATGTTAATAATCTCTAGTTTTGACTCCAACTGCTTGTTAACCACTCCAATTAAACTCAAGTGTGTCTTTCAGCAGAAAAACGGGCTCCTGCTACATCTGTTTAGCAGTTTGCAGGGCAGGCATTAGTCTTTTTTTTTTTTTTAAATATCCTGTGATTGGTACTGCCTCATTTATTCTGAGTGATAGATGTTACTAGCAACATATTGAAAATGATTTCTACTTAGGAAATCAATTTGGTTAATTTGCACCCAACTATTGATCTAGAACAGGGCTGTCAAACTCCTGACCCACGGGCCGGATGCGTCATGCGCTGGTCACGCCCACGCCCAGTTTAGGGAAGGGGAAAAAAGTCCCGATACGTCACGTGACACCACCATGAAGACGTGAGTTTGACACTCCTGATATAGATCATGATTTGCATAGGTATTATTATGGCATACCCTTGAATGGAGGTTACTTCTGTCTTCTTAAATGGATACAAGTCCAGTGGTGGGATTCAGCCAGTTTGCACCACTTCGGTAGAACCCAATTGTTAACTTTCTGAGCAGTTTGGCAAACTGGTTGTTGGAAGAAACCATTAGGGCAGAGAACCAGTTGTTAAATTACTTGAATCCCACCACTGCACAAGTCCATTCTGTCCCTCGTTTTAACATGCTTCCCAAATCTTAATACCTAATTGTGACTGCTTGGTCCCCAACTTCTTAACCTTTTTGCTGGCCACTGAGTGACCATCTCTTTGTTACCTTGCACCATACTCTTGTTCACATCTCCAGCTGTGCCGCTTTGTCACTTTCAAATAAATACCAGATTGTTTGCCTGCGGAATGGCCTATCCTTGCCTTCATTAAATTCCTCTTTGGAAATCTCAATTGGCCCTGCATTGAATTATGCCATCCATGACCTGGAGCACAAGGCCGCTTTCTTCTTCATCTACAGCCAAAACCTAGTTCATAATTAATATTGCAAGCAGGGTTATTTCATCATGATCTGTAGGATGTCTGGCAACCGATTCAAATAGCTTCTTCTGATATAGTAATTATGTGGACAATGCAGAGTATTCAAGTTAAGTGCCTCACATTTTCATCTTATGACTTTATCTTATTATTACAAATCAACTGCTTGGAAGAAGAAATCCACAACTTGCCCCTGTGGCTGGTATCTATAATCCTTAGATCACCCTTAATGTAAGAATTCCAAATGTTATGTTTGGGATTAGAGAGAAAAGCAATGGAGACAGGAAATGTGATGTACTGTACTTCCTGTTCTGTTTGATGGCATCTGTGTTGTGTCCAAAACTGCTCTTAATGAAAACAAGTGCATTCTCCAGGATCATAAAGTAAACAGTTTGGATTTGACTCCCAAATTATACCATATTATCTTAACAAAGGCAGAGAAAGAAAGCTGGGAGAAAAAA